TTATCGGCGCTTAAGGTATGCGTTGGGGCGGCGGCCCTCCGTAAGAGCATTAAGTCCGGAGTCTACCATTACTTAGTTTAGCCCCCCGCGCTGCCAAGGGCGGTCCCGGCCTATCCCCCCCCCCAGCTTACTCCCGCCACAAATTTCCCCGCCAACTCCTTGTTGCCCACCGTGGCTCAAAGTTGTTCGGCTCCCGCGCGTGGGCTTGTAGCTGCTGGCGGCTGCCGTGTGAGCGCCCCAGCCTGGCAAGAAAGAGAGAAAGTCCAGAGACTGAGGACGCGGTTGCCCCTCTCAGTCTTTTGCCCGCGCGGAACCCGGACGCACAGCTTACTCCCGCCACAAATTTCCCCGCCAACTCCTTGTTGCCCACCGTGGCTCAAAGTTGTTCGGCTCCCGCGCGTGGGCTTGTAGCTGCTGGCGGCTGCCGTGTGAGCGCCCCAGCCTGGCAAGAAAGAGAGAAAGTCCAGAGACTGAGGACGCGGTTGCCCCTCTCAGTCTTTTGCCCGCGCGGAACCCGGACGCACAGCAGCTCCTTTCTTCTACAAGCCGTGCTTTAAACACACACACACACACACACGCCTATCCCCCCCTTTTTTTCTCTCTCTCTCTCTCCTGCTGCGCGCTTCCCGCTTACCTGAACCTCGACTGGCCCGCGCGCCGACTTTGCCTCAAGTTCCTCACGCGTGTCCAAGAGGAAGGCGCGGGCGGCGCGGGAAGGACGTGGAGCGAGAGCGAGCGACGAGACGGGCTCTCAGAGGAGGACTGAGCCTACTGGAGGCTCCCGGGTCTCCGGTTAAAAGGGTGAACACCTTCCCCCTCGAAGTCACAGCCCCTGGAGACGCCGCGCGCAGCAACCTTGGCACCCCTCACGCGGATCTGTGACGGATGCCTCCACCCCTCAACACACGCACGCTGGCTTTTAGCGGGGAGAAGAAGGGCAAGCAAAGTCCGAGCAGGTCTGATCCATTCTTCGCCGGGCCTTTCTTCTCAAGAAGCGAGGAAACTTCACCAAAAGCCGAGAAGAGAAACTTAAAAGTGGCTACGACCGGCCAAAGGGTGGCGGAGGGGCTTTGCTACCAGAGTCCTTTCGCTGCTCCTACAATTTCGCCAAGCAGCGGAGTTTTCCTCTCTTTTCTTTGAGATAAATAGGTATTTATTTTATTCAACTCAAAAGGAAGCGCCAGGCACTAACTGAGGAGATACGGTCTGCGCGCTGAGGCTCGCTCGCTGGTGCTGCCTGCCTGCCTGCCCGGCCGGCCGAGAGTTGAAGAGTGCGTAGTTCGCGCTGAATGTCACTTGAGTGAAGGTCGCCGCCGCCACACGCACGGCCTCTCGCGCACACTGAGGGCGCCGGGCCACCGAGCACCAACCAGCCAGGCAAAAAGCCTATCAGAGCCACCGCCTCCTGTCAATTGTCCCGAAGGGAGAGGAGAGCGGCGGCGGCGGCGGCGGCCCACCCCTCGCGCGCTCCTGGGCGGGCTTGTCGGCGAAGGAGGACAGGCAGAATCTGTTCCTCAGGGTAGAATTCGTTATGTATCTCACGAAAAAAAAATTTTTTTAAAGAGAAAAAACGCTCCGTGAGGCCAGGGCTTAAACTTGATGCAATGATAGGGCTTAACCTTGAAGCAACTGGACTCCCAAGCAGGTGTCTCTTCGGTATAAGAAAACACAAACGTTCTCCTCATAACGGGGGCCATAAGGGGTCAGGACAGGAGAAGACAAGAGCCGACGTGGCTGCCCCAAGACTGAAAATAGGCTATTGATCCATTCAGCATATAAAAGAGTCATAATCAGGCTTTAAAAAAAAACCCTGAAAGAAACACCGATCTATGCACATTTCTGAACAAAACAGCATTTTGTCCTGAGCAAGCCTCCCTAGAACAGACATTGAGCTACACAGAATTTGGCAGCTTCTTATGAATAAGTACAGGTGAAAAAAGCAATGTAGAAGCCAGGTAACCTCTTTTCCAGTGGCAAGGCTCCGTGAGAAGTTTCAACATGGCTAGACTCAGAACTGTTAAGGAAAAAAAAATTAGTTCCCTTCTTTCCTGCAGCTTAAAGATATACCAGAGATTCTATAATAGGCAGGTTGATGATATATTTGGTGGCTGAAAGCTGTAGTTCAAAGTTACACTGGGGATTCTGTGCTATAATAAGGATTATATACATTACTTGCGAAGGAACTAGACAATGGTAGGCAAGTGAGACCAAAGCCCAGATCAGCCATGATATGGTATTCTTAATTGCTACGTATGCATGGATATGAAAGCTGGACAATGAAGACAAGCCAACAAGAAAAAAAATGATTCATTTGAAATGTAGTTTTGGAAGGGAACTTCACAGATACCATAAACTGCAGGAAACACACACACACAAAGGGTTTTAGAGAATATCACGCCTATATTCCCATTACAAGCTAAAATAACTGAAACAAGTCTGCCGTACTTTGAACATACCATGAGAAGTCATGACTTGGTGGAAAAGAAAAGAGTGCTGGAAAAGTATGAAAATAGTAGGAAAAGAGGAAGATAAACTATGCGATGGATTGACTCAATACAGGAACCATGACCTTTAGTTTCTGAGACCGGAAGAGGAGCTCTTGGAGGTGATTAATTCATAGGGTCACCAAAAGTCAGAAGCACCTAGATGGGTACATAACAAGGATTCTAAGACTTCATCCATCCACAAAACTCATAGCCTGTGAAGAACTCAATTGTTTTCCCACCCCATAATCCTAGTATGCTCATTGTGAACTAATTCTGTAGCTGTTACTTTGGAAGTCACCAACACTTTTGGAAAGCGGAATGAAATACCAAAAACTCAAAATTAATATCTGGCTTTCATAGCAATTATGTTTTCAACCACAAATGGAGGAAGGGGCACCTGGAGATTACAGTAGTGTTGTGAGTTGGTCCTCAGATTGTCAGTCTGATATGGTGTCACTGAAGCAAACTTCTTACTCCCAGGTTCCTAATTTATTAAAGTAATTTTGTTTTCTTCAAAATATACAGCTGACATTACTGTTACAGACCTTACATTTCACTAGATCCTGGGAAAGATTTACTTTGACACATTTTTGAGAATACAAGGAAGTGTGTTCCTATTCTGCAAGATGCCTTCATCACACTAAAATGGGACAAAGGGCAAAATTCAAGAGATGAAACAGCCTTGTTACCTTGTTCTGTTTCTCTCCCAGCTATTATGAGGATTCACTTGTCTCGTTATAAACCTGCCTTTTTCCAAAAAAAAAAGAGGCCTTCATAAGAATACCAGCAATTGCAGAGGCCCACCTAAGAGGTCCATGGAAGAGGGCTTTATTCAGTGTGGCTTGCAGCCTGTGGAATTTACTCCCTTCACAGCTGCAATCATTTCCCACTCTCACTCCTTTTAAGAGGGGTGTAAACCACATCTTTTAAAACTGGCATATAATGTTTAATCTGCTATGTTCTTTTTAACAGTGCACCTTATAATTTAGTAATTAATTACGTGCTGTCAAGTTGATTCAGATTTATAGTGCCCCTTTTCAGAGTTTTCCAGGTAGAGAGTGCTCAGAAGTGATTTACTTTTCTCTGGGACTGCACAGCTTGCTTCAGGCCACACAGGTTGGCTTTCTCCTCCGATAGGCAATGGGAAGTTGGGTACTCTCAAGTACCCAGCTCACTAAGACATCTAGCTATCTTAACTGGATACTTAGTTGATTTTAATGGTTTTTACAGCTTAACCTGATTCTAATGATTTTATTGTCAAATTTGATTTTACTTGTACTGTATTTCTTGTTTTGTGAGGATTGCAAGCCACCTTGAGCACTACTTTATAGTGGAAAGAAAGAGCATAAATGTAGTAAATAAATGACATGCTGAAAGGGAATAGTGAAGGCAAAGGTGGAGTGTGTATATAGTGTCACAGTTCCTATTACCCAGAATGTCTGCTGGGTTTAACCACGCAAGCCTTGGCTCCACGTATTCTAACCATTATAGAATGTTGCATATATAAACCTATTCAGCCTGATATAATCTGTTAATGATTACTGGACATGCCATGTTTCCTCCTCCCCCAAAATAAGACAGGGTCTTATATTAATTTTTGCTTCAAAAAACACATTTGGGCTTATTTTCAGTGGATGTTTTATTTTATAGTCATGTCATCTTCAGGTTGCTGCACAATGCTGCACAATGGTGGAGGGCAGGATTTCACTTAATTAGGGCTTATTTTGGGGGGTAGGTCTTATTTTTCGGGGAAACAGGGTAGTTCAGCCTCAAAATAGCCTTCAGTTTGTTTCTCAGAAAAAGGAATCCTACTTTTGAATGCTAAGGGAATAGTTGTTGTTGTGCCATCAAGTTGCCTTCAACTTATGGCAACTCTATGAATGAGTTATCTCCAAAATGTCCTGTCCTCTATTGCCCTGCTTGGCTGTTGCAGACTCAAGCCTGTGGCTTCCTTTAGGGAGTCAGCCCATCCCATTCTTCTTTTCTTGCTGCCTTCACACTTACCCAGCATTATTTTCGTTTCCAGAGAATCCTGCCTTCTCAAGATGTGTCTGAAGTAAGGCAGCCTCAGGTTCAACATTTTTGCCTCCAGAGGTAGTTCAGGATTGATTTGATCTGTGACTCACTTGTTTGTTTTTCTCTCAATCCAGGATATTTTTCAAAAGTCTCCTCCGGCACCAGATTTCAAATGAATCAAATATAAGTACAAATATAAGTTCAAATTATTGCTTTTAAAAGATAACTCTCCAAACTTTCTGCCTGGTTTTGAATGATCGGTTTACAAGTGAGTTGCTGTTGGTGGAAACGAAGATTATGAACGGCACACATACCCAATTTCTACTTATAATAACCATGTGAGTTAGGCTAGATAAAGATGCTAGCAGGTCCAAAATCTCCCAGTGATCTTACTGGTAAATCAAGAATGTGAACTTAGGTCTTTTCAGACAACTTGCCAACCTCTGTACTGCCCTTTGCCAGCTGACTAGGCAGCCACAGCTTGCAAAAGTTTACTTTTTAAAAAACTCAGTTACAAGTATTCCACAATGTATTGAACAAAATTTTAATTGGAGGCTCTAGTTTTTTAAACTGTATTTCAACTTTGCCGTAAGTTATCTTGTAAATCTTTCACTGTCTAAAGGCTAGACCACATGTGATGCAGATCAGATCCATTATAAGATTTATTTTATTTTATTTTATGAAGCTTCTAGACCACCCAACTTGGTGAACTACTACTCAGGGTGGTTTGCATAATTAAGCAAAACATACAAACTGAAATAATAAAACAATGCATGGATAATAGCACAAACAAACAAAAACAGGAAGGTGACCAAGGATTGCCACCTGGTGGCTTAGATGAACCAAATAAAGTATAACATAATAACAAAATATCCAGCAATATAATAAAATAATAAATACAATAAAATACCTAGGATGTTGCCTAAGGTCTCCTTAAATTATTCATTTTTTACTGATCTATATAAAGTATAACATAATAACAAAATGTCCAGCAATATAATAAAATAATAAATACAATAAAATACCTAGGATGTTGCCTAAGGTCTCCTTAAATTATTCATTTTTTACTGATCTAATAATCAATAACTACAATAAAATACCTAAGATGTTGCCTCCTTAAATTATTCATTTTTTACTGATCTTCTAAAGATTTCCTATTGTTTGTTTTTAATTTTAACTGTAAAGTGGCTAGGAGTAAGGAATTAGGTCAAGACTGTCGTTCTGGAAAATATGTTAATCTCTTTACTTATGCATTAAGTCTCTCCCCGATACCATTTTGCAAATTATCCTACTGGTGGATAAAAATATGTAACTGTTCCATCACTGGGCACAGCAGAATCTTGGCAAAGGATGATTTCAACCAGGATGGGAGGGATGGAGCAGCACTCTGAAATTTGCTGCCTGAGGCGAAGAAGATGACACTCCACCCATGCAATGTAAAAAATCTGACTACAGTGACATTCAGAGATCATTCAAGATTGATTTGATCTAAGACACACTTAGTCATCTGCATATATTAAATTAATAATGTTTCTTTCACCAATCTTCACATCTTCTTCAACTGAATCTAGTCTGGCTTTCCGTATGATATGGTTTGCATACAGACTGAACAGACAAGGGGATAAGTTTGTCTTTCTAGCAAACCAGGATATAGTCAAAGTTCTCCTCTGGCACTACATTTCAAGTGTGTCTCGCTTTCTTTACTGTCCAGCCTTCACACCTGTACATTGTGATCAGGAATATAACAGTGTGGATGATGTTGACCTTGGTCTCCAATGAGACATTCTTACACTTGATG